CAAAGGGGCAGCAATGTGTGAGAAGTTCTTGACGAAGCGTTGGTAATAGGCGCACAGTCCTAAGAATCGGCACACTGCTCTCTTATCTTGCGGTTGAGGAAACTGTGCGATAGCGGCTGTCTTCTCGGGATCTGGTCTTACGCCATCTTTTCTTATAACATGGCCAAGGAACTGTAGTTCTTCATAGGCAAAATGGCATTTTTCTTGCTTCAGTGTCAGCCCTGATGACTTAATTGCGTCCAGTAGCGTCCGGAGCCTTTTCAGGTGGTCGCTAAAGTTGGAGGCGAAGACGACCACATCGTCCAGGTATACGAGACATATTTGCCACTTGAGACCCACCAGTACTGTGTCCATTAGACGCTGGAAGGTTGCTGGAGCGGAACAAACTCCAAATGGCATCACTTTGAACTCATACAATCCATGCGGCGTGATGAAGGCGGTCTTTTCTCGGTCTCTTTCATCAACCTGAATTTGCCAATACCCTGTCTTCAGATCAATGGACGAGAAGTACCTTGCATCGCAAAGACGATCTAGGGTATCGTCAATCCTTGGTAAAGGGTACACGTCCTTCTTGGTTACACTATTCAACCGTCGGTAATCGACACAAAACCGAAGACTTCCGTCTTTCTTTTTGACAAGGACGACTGGTGCCGCCCATGGGCTTTTCGATGGCTGAATTACATCGTCGTGTAACATTTCCTCAACTTGCTCTCGGATGGCCTGACGTTCACGTGCCGACACACGATAAGGGCTTTGATGGAGAGGGCGGATGTCTTCTTGTGTTATGATTCGATGCTTTGCCAGAGAAGTGTGTCGGACCTGTGAAGAAGTGGCGAAACAATCGTCATAACGTCGAAGGAGGTTCTGGAGCAGTGGCTGCTTGCATTGAGGCAAGGAAGGGTTATTGTCGAATGACAGCTGCGAGTTGTGGGCCTGTGGGGTGATGGTCGCTGGATTCGAGAGGGCAAGGGTGTCACTGACTTCCGCGATTTCATCGAGAAAGGCAATGGTCGTGCCTTTGGCCAGGTGATGGTGTTCTTGGCTGAAATTTGTTAGCAGCACTGGGCCGTGTTCATTCCGGAAGTCCGCAATGCCTCTTGCGATTGCGATATCACGGCCAAGCAAAAGCTGTATGTTACCTTCAACGACGCCATGAGCATTTTCGGCAGTACCAGTGGTTACGGGGATTAGGGTCGTTGATCGGGGTGGGACGCTCACGTCATTCTCGAGCACACAGAGGGCTGCGCGATTATGTGGTGCCGAGTATGAATTTATGGCTTCATCCAAGGAAAGTTTGATGGATCTGGACGCCAGGTCAATAACCGCGTGATGTTGAGTCAAGAAGTCCATGCCGAGAATGACGTCACGGGAGCACTGTGGGAGCACCAAGAAAGTGGCAAGGTAAGTGTGACCATCGAATGTCACCCTTGCAGAACATCGCCCCGATTGGGTGAGGAGGTGGCCTCCCGCTGTGCGGATTTGCGGGCCATCCCAAGCCGTCTTAACCTTCTTCAGTTGTGCTGTCAATGGCCCGCTGATGACCGAGTAGTCAGCTCCTGTGTCAATCAAGGCAGTTACCGGGTGGCCGTCGATAGATACTTCTAAATCGGTGGCACGTGGGCTGGAGTTGCGCGTTGGTTTCGGGTTCGGGTCAGGGCTTCGTCTTGTTGCTTCGTTTCGCTTCGTCTCGCGGCTTGGGTTGTTGTGCGTTGTCGTCGTCGTAGATGATGTGCTGTCGTCATATATGGTCGTCGGTGGAGGGTCTTCAGCTTTCCCTCTTGAAGCAACCTCACCTCCAAAGGTTGCTGGTTTTAGTTTCCCCTACGGGGGCTTGGGGACCTTCTTCGTTCGTTGCTGCTGTGGTTCGGTGACGTGAAGCGTGGGGATGGCGGTGATGGAGAACGGCTGGACAAGTACTCTGTATGGCGCAAGTAGTCTTCGATTGCCGGAGGTCGTTGTCCAGGGCGTCGCCGTAGTGCCTGAGATGAGAAGCCATGCAGCCCTATCCGCCTGTAGGGGCAGTGTCGTGTGTAGTGGCGGACTTGCGCCCACTAAAGGAAAACAGACACACCGGCTTAGCGGGAGGCGAACAGCGCGTTCGACGGCCGTCGGGTAACAGAAATGTCCCACTGGAACGCAAGGCGCGTTTACCATCCGAGATACAGTCGCCGTAGCGTCTGGTGCTATCTCGTTATCAACGAATGGTCGATGTGCGGGCCATGATCTTCGCAGATGAGTCGTGGTGCATCCTGGACCACGATAAGGCCGCGTGCCGGCGGTATCGGCATGCGCAACACTGTCCGCAATACTCCTCTCGGCAGTATATACAAACTTACGAAATTCTGAAAACCATAATTTTAGTCCTCTGGCTTTCCATTGTATGACGGATGCAGCCTTGACTTCTTTACGATATGATGAGGTGTGTGTAGCCATCTTCCTAGTTGAGAGACTCAAGCACTGGGCTTATGGCGTCCAATACTCCAAGTGCCCTTCGAGCAGATGCTGTCTTCATGTCGACTAGTATAGCTCGGATGGCTTCCAAGAGCGAACGCAGCACCGAAATCACTTGACCTGATTTAGGCAAATCTTCCATGGCTGGAGACGGCGCTGCTGTGGCCGCAAGCTGCTGGGATTCTTTGGCAGAAGAGCAGGTTGGGAGCGTGGGCCATTCCTCCAGGGAAGGCGGCTTCTCCGCTTTTCCGGAGTGCAGAAAAGGCCTGTGTCCTCTAGAAAACTCTCGGTGGTGTCAACGTCGCTTGCAAGACACCGTCTACAGTGCCATCACTCCCTCCTTTCCACTAAATGGTGATATCACTGGCATAAATTGTGACCAACATCTGGAATTCCAGAAAGCTGCCCCGAGAAACCAGCCATGATGATGTGAAAAAGTAAGGGTGAATGAACAGAACCCTGCGGGGTTCCCCCTATCTCCCAGCGCTTGCATATCCGATTATAGTTCTTCAACTTTCAGAATGGCTTAATGACCAGTCAGGAAGAAACTCACACACGCATGAAATGAGGAGCCTAGGTGGACACTAGAGATGTTATTTAAAATAAAAGTATGACAGACATTGTGAAACGCTTTTCTTAGCTCCAAGCTTTGGATCACCCTGGTGTCTCTAGTATAACTATCTAACATTTCAGTCTTGATAGTTTTCAAGGCATCCTGGGTGAAAAAACTTCGCCTAGAGCGAACTATTTAACGAGGAAGAAGATCAATGTGTTCTATGTAATCTGCCATTCACTACTGCATAACGTGTGTCGCCACATTTCTCAAGCATGACGTGAGTGAGATAGAGCGCGGATGATTCAAACTTAGTGCTTCACCGTGCTTCGAAGTGTGGATCAGCCTGACTAACATTTATTGCTCCGCTATATCACCGCACCTCCAAATCCTACTAATATCATCGGTAAGAAATTCAACAGTCATCTTCTGAAATTTCGAATTGCTTTGTTGGTGATCCTAACCGGACCCGGTGCCAATTGGCCACTGAGGTCATGCAGGGCACGTCTCACTTCGCTTATGCCGAAGGGTTCGCCCAAATGGGGAAAAGGTGTCCCCATATACCCCGGATAGGCTTGCATGTTGGAATCGACTGCTAGTGGTAGATACTTCTTAGCAAACTGCCACGATAGCTCCACTCCCGATGAGTACTTCTGAGCCAGATGAAGTATTCTAGCAAAGACCCCTTCTGATTAGGTTGTGCTCCAAGCCCTCAAGCAGATGTTTTAAAATATTCCATATACATCTGGCTCACATTTGTATATTGACTGACTTACCTATTGCATCTCATTGCTGCCTGTACAAGTTATTGCTATGGTCTTTAATTTGCGTATTTACCTCCACAATCTTTTTTCGAAGCTTACAATTAAGCCACCGACTCTGCCATTTTGTGCATAGTGGCTTCTTTGCCTCCAGCAAATTGCAAGCCGACTGTCCATTTTTTTCTGTTTGTACCTCTTTGTCAACTGTCTTGGTAACCGTCCTAACATCCTCCACCAGCATCTCCGTCCATAGCTGCAGATAGTGTGTTATCCCCTTGTTCCAGTCGAGTCCTGCGTGACTCCGAAATTTTATTCTAATCCACGTAAGTAAACATTCTTTTAAACAGCTATTGCGTAAAAAATACAATTTATTTTGTAGTAGGCAACCATGGAATGTTTGTTGCAGCTACCTAAAGGTCGTTTAAGAGAAGTTCTAAAAAAGCCGTTCTTCCAGCTTATGCTGTGATATGCTGCGCGTTCCGCGGGGACCTAACGATTTTTGGTGGTAGTATGTTGATTGCAGCAGTGATGTTAAATAGTATTGTCAATTGCAGCAGTCAGTCCTTTAATGACACGAAACAAATTAGGGTGGGGTGAAATGGGACAACAGATTTAAAATAGTAAACATTTATTTTTCTTCTACTTCTTACAAATAAGTATATATGCAGAACTTTTAGATTAGGTAAAACGTATGTGCAAAGTAAACACTGCCATGTTACCACCATACTAAAGAATATTTTAACAATAAATGAGGAAGGATTCAGATGTCTCATTGTGCCCCAACCTGAAAGGCAAAACGACTGGCTGTGTGGGGCAGAACTAAACATGGTAAAAAATTATTGCTTAAGTTTTGGCTTCAGAAAGACTTGAAATTCACCTTGTGGGCCGTTACGCAGTCTTAAGAAGCCATGTCCTCAGACTCCATGGGTGGAATCTATACAGAACGTGGTGTTGTGTTGCCTTGAAGCTCCCTGCAGATCAAACACCACCAGTGTTTCTTTGTGCTAACGTTTTCTTTTGTTGAACGCTTGCAACTCATTGGGTTATTCAACAATTGGAGGCTAGATGTTTAGACACACCTTTTGCACCGGGAGCCAGCACGCACATGAAGGCTTTCCGCACAGAAGACTATCTTCTTCCTACGTCCTTTTTCGCGACGCACGTAGATGCGTGGTCATTTGTTTACGTATTCAACATTTCGTGGTTCATAAACACAGATTCAACTTTTTTTACAGAACGACCACTGTGTTCTATTTGGGCGAAGAAGGACTTTGCAAGAAAAAGTAAGGTGGACGAATATACATTGACATTATTTCACGCAATTTGCAAAGATGCAGTCTACGACGGGTACCCAGAGTATTGCCCGATACTTGTGAAATAAAACCCATTTCCTTTAGAGTGAGCATATCATGCCGTGAATAAGCTTATACAATGCAATGCGTTCACTCAAACTGACCCCTGCGCATGGCAGGTCGGCGTCAGCTGGAAAAAGTTTCCCGGACAGCCTACCCTTTTGCCCATCTTAGGTAAGTCCTATATAAGGGAAGTGCACGAGGAGCGTGAGTGCTCTTTTAAAGTTCCTGAATTTATTTTCAAGTAATTTTTATGATGTATTCCTTGTGATCATCATAAAGCAAACTAGTCCTCGATTATTGTAAATTGGACCCAGAAGAGTTGCATCTTGCTGTTATAATGGCAATATATTTGGAAGCGAAAGCTATTGCAATTATAATAACGGATGAACCTGTACTAGCTAGTAATATGGCTGAAAGCATGAGGTATAAGAACGTTTGCTTGATTTTCGCGGCGACAGCTTCATTCTGACGTGCAGAACTACAAGCAAATACCTCTATTTTTAGTACAGAGACCTTTATAACTTTGTATGTGCATCGGTTTTCAAGATGCATCGCCACTACCCTCAGCATGTAGCGTTTTGGGTTCCCATAGTAGCTTATTTCATTAATAAAGCAAATGTTCATTCTGCGATCGGGCTATTTATACACTGCCAATGCAGCATTCTTCCTATCCAGAGATTTTTACTGCCCCGTTCAGGGTGTTCAAGCATGCGGCTCATGGTAACAGAGCATCCGCACCAGGGAACAGACCTTTGGCATTGTATTCTACATTTTGTGAAATAATCAATTTCCTGTGGCGTAACCAGGTCAATGTTGCAAAACTGAAATAAAAAGAAGCTTGCAGTTTTTAGTGATGGTATGTTACAGTATTCAATGCCAATTGAATTGACTTTAGCTACTGTTAAAAATGCAGAAAAAGGGGACACTGCCACTCATATATAAATACGCTTCAAAAAATCCCAGGGTGGGAATACTAGCACATAAAGGAGAGGTATCGCAAACACTTAAGTTCATTTGGGTGACTTTGACATTAAGTGAGGCTAGTTTCAACTTCGTCATTGTATTCGTAATAATGAAAGAATAAAGATAAGCATCAACATAGGCAGAAAATTGCAAATAGAGTGTTGTGCCCCTGAGACAATGCTTAAGTTACGGGGCTAAAAAGATGGGAACAAATTATTCTAAAGCGCTAATAAACCTGAGTGGCATTTCACGCAGTTACTTTTTCGTGTTCACTTTTTGCCACTTTTGTTGTTCAATACCCATTTCGTAAAACAATGAAACAGACTAGGAGCCAGTGCTGTAAAATCACTCATGTACGTTTGTGAAACATCCCGAGAAAATCGTTTGATCAGCAAAATAATATTTATGGTGAATACATTACCTTTCTACATGAAATGCATAGAGAAGAGTGAGTGTTATGTCTCCTCAACTCTAACTTACTATTCAATTAATTTTTGAAGGCACAAACTGCACATCGCCTGAGCATGTTTAAGGTAAAAAGCTGCAGAATAGCGATTCATTGGCTGCGTATTATGTAGTGTTGGTATTCCACAAAGATCACCTGCAAGTGAAATATGGTAAATGAACGCATGAAATACTCTTAAAAAAGTAAAAATGTCAGGCTAAATTCATATGCCACTTCTGATTACAATAGTCATCGCGCAACAGCTCAAAACCGTGCGTATCCGCAAGTCGCAGGAACGCACAACCATTCAAGTTACTCACGCTTTGCACTCTCTTCACTCGCTGTTGTCGCTTTATCTCTGGTTCTTCCCGCGAAAAAGCGCGGGAAGAACCAGAAACGGGGCGGTAACAGAGTTGCGTGTATGTGAGCTCGTATGTCTGTGCGTATGAGAGAGAGCGGCAACAGTGTGCGTGTAAGTCTGCTCGAGCCTGACACACATACACGCACGCTGACGAAAACTAGCACACTCAACACACACTCCCACGCACTAACAGTTTCCCATAGTCGGAGGGCGCGGTTATTCTCTTCGTCATTCGGAAACACCAAGTGGCGAACTGTCTGCAGGCCAAAAGTGTTGTGTTTAGCCTTTTGCATTTGAAGCAGCATAACAGTAAATAAGGGCTACCTCCTTTCTACTGGCAGTGCGCACTACAGCAATGGGAGGCTCACCGATATCTACAGCTAAAGAACGAAGGCCCGTCGAAACCCATGCAAAAAAACTCACGCATAAAAATAAAATAAAACAACTTCAAAGATCAGTTATGAAGCATTCACGTGCACTTACAAGACATGGAGCAGTCGGGTGCACTGGGCTGTCCTGATAGTCACTACGCCTTCGTTAATGGAAGAAAAATAATAATAGGTGAAAAAACTCACACTCTTTTGCACAAGGACGATAGTCTTCTACGGTTAAAAAATAAAGAAGAATGGCAGATCTCATGTACATTAGCAATCAGTATGTTATGAGAAGCACGGAGAGCAAAAATTACTGTTCTCACTTTTTCATTGAGCGAAAAGTGACGAAATGACTTTAAGATATTTACAAATATTTACAATTTAAGAAGTTACAATGTGCGCATCGGCATATGTTGAACAGTCGCATTTGTTTTGTATGAACAGTTTTCTAGAGCTGCGTAAGGTAATGATACCACAAGCAACATCAGTATTAGCAATGCCACAAGCGGTAAGATGACATACAGCGCTTTTGTTCGCCAGAGTGATTGACCTGAACATCGCTACTGTAAGGATGACAGCGCTGCTGGCGCGCAGGCGTGTGCTAGGCTAAACTGGGAAGACGAGGACAACGAAGACAGATAATACAACAATTAGGTACTAATATAGCAATTGCAACGAATGCATCTATGATTGGCGAGAAGGCAGGTGCGGGTATTTTTTCTTTCTCATTATTTTGGTCATTTTCATTACGCCTCTCATATTATACACTAATATTTGAATCGGAATTTACGGCCGTTATACTAGCTCTTCGTAAACTTCCTGCGACTTATTCGACAGCTGTGATAGTGGCTGACTCTTATTTCTTGTGTCCATTTTTATCATCTTCGTCGGCATGAGCAGTACTAGAAACTTGTAAATCATTGTTCCCAGCTAACATTCGTTTAGTGCGAATAATATGGGTGCCATGCCATCGTAGTATATCTATAAATGAGATGGCTGACACACTCGCAAAAGCATTCCTCGATCTTCCGATTGTGCCAATCATGCCTCTTTCAGTTTATGTAACGGCAGCGAAGTTCAGAAAACTTTCCCTTCTTATTGACTCATCAAAAATTACTATACCGAATACAGATTTCTCACACCTGCACTTCGCGTGGAATAATAAATAGTGTCTTGCGCGTCAATTGGAAGTCTCTATAACATTATTACGTTGCCGTGTACCACCTTTTAATTTCAACTTAAATAGGTCTGGTCTGGGGCCACCTCTCTGCTCAAACTGTAATGAACCCGAACATATCGACCATTTTTTTCTCACGAGTCAACGTTTCAAAAATCAAAGAAAAAATAGTTTCCAAATTTTATTTTAAAAATTAGCAATATCTCCTACTACTCTTAACATTTTGTCTTTTGGGGCCGCTTCATTAGGACACAGCGACAGGAACATGTGGGGCTCTCTGCGAATCCCTATGTAACACAAGAAGATTCCCTTGATGAGCCATTGATCATCTTTAGATTTTTACTAGCCAACCTAACATTTAATATTTAACTATTGCACTCTGTTTTAACCATCAGAAGAATTTCATATAATGATTACATTGGAGATATTCAACAAATACTATTATTTCTCTTCTTTCCCTCTTTTTTCACATTGTGCCAAATTATTTTCCCTGTCAAAACAAAGTAATCCTATTAGCCTGTGTAACCTAAATTTATTGACTTGCATTAAGCACCGGCTTCTTGGCCAATCCCCCTTAGTGGGTGAGAGCCACAAAAGTAAGGATCAAGCAAGCAAGCTAGCAAGCTGGACCAGAATCGGGTGCTGTCTGTCTGCTTCCTTAGAGTAGTGCCGTTGCCGAAAATCTTTGGCAATCCCCAGCTGCTAGCTTGCGGTAACGTGTTTTCCAGCGGTATGTTGCCAGGCTTCCTCTTTGATTGAACCCTCAAGCTGGCCACCGCCACAAGTAACAAACCCACCACCAGCGGACATCGTCCAAGCCTCCATGTTGATCCCGGAGAACTACCGGCATAATACTTCGCACCTACATGCGCACGAGCTTCTTTGTGGGAACACGATTTGCGCTTTCCAAGGCGTGGATCGCTCAACATAAACTCTACCGTCATGTGAGCCGTCAAGGGAGGCCGTTCACGCTTCTTTGCCCATGGGCCTCTCTTCTGTGAGTGCCAGAACTACCGAATACAGCGTGGACGTGGTTTCTTGCTCATCAAGCACCGCACCCGAGAGCTGCGCAGAGTTCTTGCGTGTGCTCACGCCACTGTTGTCCGAACAGCTAGACCGCTTCGAATCGTTGAGCTGCGGGGTCCAGCCGGCCGCCACACCATACACAGCTCTTTCGGAAGTACTGCAGTTCCAAGGCTTCTAGAATGACGCTGACATATGGGTGCCGACTGTCAACGAACTTGGCTCTCGGCATGCCTGTCCCGACATTACTAAATGGCAGGTGGGCATCACCAGCCTGTGGCCTGCATGAGGGCAGTCACGGTGGTTGTGTGCTTGCCATCGCTTTTCTTCTCTAAAACGCTTCTTTTAGTGTATGTTGCTGAGACGTCCCCCGTTACGCCACCAATTACCAAAGAGAGGGAAGACCACTCAAACCCTTGTCTATCCGGTTCCCTCTTGGCTACGTGTCTCAATCATTTCTCACATACAGGGATTCGTGCTGGGGCCGGGAAGTAAGAGACGCTACGACCTGTTTCTGTTTACTGATTCATTTAATTTAATACTAACTGCAAACATCGTAGACCCGCGTACATCAACCACTACACAAAATTATAACACAAGATTTACACACTCGCGACGTGCGACGCAGGATACATAAGGAAAATAACTTTGACATTACAATGGTGCGACGATACAAAGTAAACACAGGCCGATACAAATTATAA